GTGTGTGTGTGTGTGTGTGTGTGTGTGTGTGTGTGTACGTCAGCTTTACTAAATGACAATACATAACCTAGCATTTATTCCATTATTCTGTTAATAGACCAAGTTCGTAAATGGTATTTATTAGTATTATTTCACTTTCTTGTTGTAAGTAAGTCTCTAAATTTACTGGAGTTCCAAAGACCTGAAACATGCAGTTTTGATATGAGCAATGCAGTTAAGTTTTACTTGGGCCTTATACTGGTTGAGAAGCTGTCTGTCCTAGTATTGTTGTTAACCTGAAGCCCTGGGATGCTTGAACAGATGACATCATGGGAGTTGCTCTGGTAGCAGAGAATTGAGGTTGTAACATCTTGTGATGGGTTTTCAAGCAGACTGGAAAAGGTCAGATGCACTTATATATTATCAAAAGCTTCTTTAGCCAAATGCTGAATTTGAAGGCCACAATCAGATTGTGGCTTAAAACATGGAATTTGCTGAAAAGATCCCTGTAGTTTAGTCATCCTGAGTGCTTAAAGATGCACAGATGTTGTTCGTAAAATGTGTTGTGGTAGGGAGGAGGGGTTGGGTGTTGGAACAAGGACCACAGGATCTTCTATGCACACTCTCACCAACTATAAGTCCAAGAACTATGGCACTTTTCTAGTAGACTAATAAAAATTGATTTTCACAAGTACTTAGGATCAGAGACCAGACTCAACATATTAATGCAGTCTGTATTCCAGAATTCACTCTTGCTGTGTTTGAAACTTATCGTTTTTCAAAATACGCTATCGCATCTGCACTCCCTAGTGATGCCGAGGAAGGACTACCTAGGAGTGGAGTATAGATGGGTTATATTGGCTTTAATTTCACTGTTACATGAAACAGTGCTGCTATTCTAAAATGCATTTGGCAGTGTTAATACCAGTACATTGAGCTTTCTTTTTTAATCCAAATTTCTTAATTTCCAAAGTAAATACAACTGAAATTAGGAACTGGAAGACATTTGGATTAAGGTCATTCAGACAGAAACCATCCTTTTTTTGTTTGTTTGGAGTCTCATAGCTGTAACTGTTGTATAGTTTTTGTTTGGCTATATGGCCTCCAGTGTAATACAAATAAGAGTAACACTTATTTTTTCTATATTGACACAGATGAAAGGCATTCAGAGTTAGACTCTGTATTTCTCAACTTTTGAACTGCCATAAATTCACTACTGCACAGATGGTCAATATTTCATATAGTAGGTATAATATATCTGTGGTTCACTAAAATTTCTGTTGGTCTGTTTCATGTGATAAGTCCAAAATTTAAAGCCATATTTATGTGGAAGGAATTGAGATTCTGAGCTTTTATGTTGCCCTTTCTTGAGTACTTGAAGCGCATGTGTGTAGTATCTCAGTGCTAGATTAACAATGGCTTTTAGAGGCATTTTTGCATAGAAAAAATATGCATTGCATCAGTAGAAGAAAAATGCCACCCTATAGCAGTAGTTAATAGGATGGAAACACAGTTTATGTACTGCAGGTTTGAATAAGCACCTTGATGACTGGTATTGCAAAACTTGTCTTGAAGCTAGTTCTAAACAGCAGTCACTTAAATGAATGTGTAGAAAACATCATCCAGTTTGAAAGCTGCCCTAGTAGACTGATTTTTGTACCACATACAGCTTGTGATGCTGCTTTTAGACTATAATGTAAAGGTTACAGTCAGTCAGTTTGTAGATCATTCTCTTCTGAAAACTTTGTTCACACACTGTTAATGATAAAGTGAAACTAAAATCTTGTTGACTGACTTCCTGCCTCTTTTTTTCCAGATAAAAGCCAAAGAACCTGTTCGTATAAAAATCTTGTGGAGAAGGGTATCATTGGGATGGTATTTATTTTATTGTGGAATTTCTTAGTTTTGAACAACATTTACAGTGCATCCATAGAACAGTCTTGATCTATGAATATTTTGATAATATTGGTCAGCCAATAGAGCTTAAAGCTTACTTGCTTCCTCCTTTAGCTGAAGTAATTGGCTGTAAGCCTGGCTTTGTATGGGAGA